AGGAAGGTGCCCTGGCGAGGTTAGTTCGTTGCTCATGACCTCCAGGGTAAATGACTCACTCCAACGACGGCGACTTTCTGAATGGCCATTTTGATGTTGTCAATCGAAGTGTGCTTTACGATAGGATTTGATGAGAGTCAAGTAGAATAATAATAATCATGAAGGCTTTATCTTGGGTGTTGACGTTCTTTAACCCCGCCATTGTAACATTTCACTGGCGATGCAACCATATTGAGCCATACACAGCGCATGATTTCTACAGCTATCTCCACTTCCTCATGATGCAATACTGGCGACAGATTCTCAACCATCGATTGTGAAATTGCGTGTCCGAGGATGAATCACAGCAAATTAGAGCACTCTCGTTGCAGATATCAAGGAGAACGAGCCTTCCCAACGCCTCTGTGAAGGCCTCACTAATGATGCCGTTGCTGGTTGAACTAAGCAAGCGTGTCCATTGTTTATTCAAACATCGAATAAGAAATAACGGGTTTTTGGCGTCTACTCAAGTTTTGTCGCCTGAAAACCAACTTCTTCATTCTAGTAACAGATTGCGTGGGTTGCTGCTCGGCAACTGCTGACGTCAAGAAACTATCCATTATAGTCTTTTGGGATCCCGACAGAGGTTTCCCTTGAGTATTGCGGAGCTTCAACGCCTTAGATAAGGTTATACGGCACCCTGAGACACTACTGAGCAGTGCCGTATAGACGAGCATCGACGGTTTCGTAGCGGAATGACGAATCGCTCGGCTATATACTCGCATACCTGGCACCGTAAGATTCAGCTGAACGACTGGATGCAGCATTAGCTTCAAAATGAACCTTTCAAACTGACACAATTGTATGAGCCAAGGTGTCACTTGGAATTCAACGGAAAGAACCGCTATATGTCTAGAGCCCTTGGCGGAACTTCCAGAACCACGGAAAGGGAGAGTATCCCGATAGTACCGACCCTAGCCACTTCCACTACCGACATCTCAAAATAGATGTCTCAGAATTACGATCCAATCCAGGCTCCCAAATCCTTCAGGCAGAATCAGACCATAAACACTGCCATGAAAAGTGGGAAATCCGCGTAAGAACCATAGCAACTAAACACCATCTCGAACAAACTTTTGAACCAAGTAAAACTGTCAATCAATCTGACAGCACTCCCGTAGATCTTGGAAGCAACCGCATTGAAGAAAAAAGGCTCCAGTGGCTGGGCCGTTGTGCCGGGTAACCGGACGCCACTGTGGCTATCACCGTGGAAAAATCCGGGGAACAGACACAATGACGTTGGCAGAAGTGCCGGTAACCTTGATTCGTAGGCCAGGAGATAATTTTGACACGTAAACGTGCAGCAGCCACATTGTGAATTCATTATTTCCTTGATTTTTGTGCCCAAGCGTCGATCAATGAAAAAAAGAGTAGGCAATGCGTAGCGGCGTAGTCACGCGAGCAAAAGTCCTTCACTGGACAGCCACAGAAAATTGGTTGAAGGATTACGTCCTGAATTGGAATGTCAGATGCTGAGCCAGTTTCTGACCACCTCGGCTAGGGCGGCTCAATTCCCTTCTCGTATGGCTAATCTGCATCCTTGCTTATGTATTTCCTTGTGAAAAAAGCAGCGAGTAAAAACAACATAGACCTGTTGGTACCTGATTCCTCTTTACCCAAAAAATAATCAGATCATTGCAGAGCTTTTACCTGTGGCGCGCGTCGTCGTGCTGATGAATATTTAAGCTTTTACTGGTCACTCTGGCTACTCAGCGGAAAACTTCAGGCAGAGGCGTCGCTGGCTGGCCGCTGTAACAGTCAGCAAATGGAGAATTTTAGTGGGAAGATTCTCATGGAGTCCGCGGGTCAAACTTAATGGCCTTGGAGGCGTCAGTGTCAACCCTGCAGCAAATCCATTCCTCAAGGGCAAAGTGAAACCTCATTTCAAGAAGCAGCTCTTCTTACGAGCCCACCAAAACACAAGAGACACGCGACAGCGAGTCAAAGCTGAAAGAGATCCCCTTTCCCCTCCCTCCTTATGGAGTCAACAAGGCCATTGTCCAGGCCAAAACAACTTCTCCACGCTCGCCAAGAGATCGATCGACCACTATACTCAGGGGTAAGCCAAGAAAAAAACCAAGGCGCCTTGCGCACTAAAGCAGTCATCGTGTAATATTCTGCAGAAAAAGCGCCAGAGTTTCCGCCTGGAGAAGGAATAATGGCGCAGCCTAGCGTGAAATTAAACTGTTCCATGATTGAATGGTTCGACCCCATTAACATTGGTCAAGGGGGGAGCTAAAAATGGGAAGAGTCGGCTAAGCGGCTTTTTTACTGCTGGTCAGCCTGGGAATAAAGGGGGGGGACTTTTTTTGCCCGACGACACCGGGCCATGCAAGGTTTCTTTTTTTCTGGGGAAAGAAGCTGAGAGAATCGCATGTACCGGTGTTGCAACCAATTTCATGTCCTCATGCAGAGAAATGCATTGTTTTCTGCATGTGCTGATTTGTTGTTGATCAACATGCCGTCAGCAAGGAGACTTGTTGGGCCGCACACTATCGACGCCTCGTTCAAGCCATCGCGGCCCCTCATCATCAAACGAGCTCATCACTTCAAATTGAGAAAAGCTTTGCAAAAAGCAAGCGCTCAGACAGAATAGCCCATTCCTTGCATTGTCGCGTGACCTTCTTACTCGCTGAAGCGTAACTCCCCTACAGCACCGGCTCGATTCTGTTAAGCTTGGCGACAAATCTGTGCCGTGCTGTTTAATTTTACTCTGCGTCCCCCCTTGGGTTGACCAATTAGATGCAGGGAAGCGTCCGGTTAGTCGGAGCCGTTTAGTCAGATTGAATTGGCAGATGAGAAAATACGAGCCTTGAAACCGCCACTGGCCAACGAGTTCCTAGTGACACCCGTCTAGCCCTACATGGATCCCAAACCAATGCAGAAGTGACCGACGCCAGGGGTTGGGAGT